CCCAGCTGAATTAAGACAAGCCTCTCATTCCAATCTTCAAAGGAGGCGATAGATAGGACTCATCATGTTACAGAATAGTCACATAACTACCAATACTATTGAAAGAAATCGACTATCTGGTGATTGAGCGAATCAAGGAGTACCACAGTATAGAAATGTTTATTACTCTTGCAGTGAGCTCGGAATCCAAAAGGTATAGGTTCACACGCGTCTCGCCCAGTCCAAGTCCGAAAATGATAAATCTGGGTAAGAACTATTCGATTTTTAATCAAAAAGGGAAATACAGACAATCACTAAAACAATATTACACCTTCGAGTTTCTGATCACAATAGTAAGTTCCGATACTGAGAGAATAAGTGCTTCCAGTTAGTTGCAACGATCTGCAGCTAGAGTATCAAATCCGAAAATGGCTGTGTCCATATTAAGTATCAGTTTAAAACAACACATATGTATTTCAGAAGACGAAACCAACTAGGTACCATCACCTGGCAATTATTCTTATTGTTGTTTCAGACATATGTGAGTCCACGCCCTGAGGTTCACAATGTAGTTTCACCTCCTCTCCTTAAAAGAGACATAAGTCTCTTGGATAGAATGCAGAGTCAAGCAACGAAATGGGTAATAAGGTTTAAAAAACCGAGGTAGATAGACTCCAGCATTTGGGATTAAACGAGAATCAGAGGTGATATGATAATGGCGAACAACATATTAGGCAAGTCAAACCATCCCAACGTCAGCATCTTTCCGGAGCATCATCACAACTCCCCTAGAGGATATCCTCGAAAAACTGAGCATCAAAGAGCGAATACTCAAGTTCATGTACACTTTTTCTTATTAGGAGTCGTTGCAACTTGGAACGCTCTCGCAGCGGAAGTGACCCGAGACTCTTCAGTGGACAGCTTTCAGAAGATACAGGGAAAAACCTACTCACATACGGATTGTCATCTCCCTGTTGGACATGCTGTGCCTGGTGCATGTATGGAGACCTGCCAGTTGTTATCACTGCCATCTCCTCAGTTCACTAACTTAATCTGTCTATGTGTCCACTCTCTTGCTTACACATCGGTCCTCTTTCCCAATCTTCATCACGAATTAATAAACTAAATAATCAATATATTACTTAGTTCTGAAATCCTGTTATTAGCATTAAAATTTTCTACTTATTATTCTCCACACTGCAATTAAAT